CTACTGGGGACCTGGCCTGGGGCCCAGGCATGTGCCCTGATTGGGAATTGAACTAGCAGCCCTTTGGTTCGCAGGCCTGCATTCTTTCCACTGAGCCACACCAGCCAGGGCTATCAGCATTACATGAAATGTTAAAGGGACTTATTTAAGAAAAAGATCAATACTATGAACATTAAAATGACAACAAATTTACAACTATCAACAACTGAATCTAAAACAAACTAACTAATTAACTAATGAAACAAACCAGAACAGGAATAGAATAGTGGGTACTATAATTATTTGAAAGGTTATCAGCTGGGAAGGAGAAGGTGGAGAATGGGGGAAAAGAGACAGGGATTAAGAAGCATAGTTGGTATGTACAAAATAAACAGTGGAATGTTAAGAATAGTATAGGAAATGAAGACAAAGAACCTATATGCATGACCCATGGACATGAGATAAGGAGGGGGTTGCTGGAAGGAAGCAGGCTACTTGGGAGAGGACAACAGGGGAAAATTGAGATGACTGTACTAGCATAATCAATAAAATATATTTTAAATTTGTAAAAATGAAGTGGGTAAACTATGCAGCCTTTTCCATTTCTTCTTTTTTTTAACCAGTAAACAGAAAATAGTTTCTATCTAATTAAAGTACTTCTTTTGTGAAATTACTTTTCCTGTCTTTCTGTCATTTATCTGTGAGGATCTTAGTGTTTTTCTTATCCAGTTCGATGATCTCTTGTTTAAGAATTTAAGGCATCATTTATCCACAGCACATATTCTTGCTTCTCTGATATAGTATCTGAGAGTTTCTTCCCTAGAGTTATAATCACTTGGCTTTGGAAGGGTGGAGATTATTTTATGTTGACACACTTCATATATATATTGATCAACTCTGTGTAAGGTCTGGCTGAAGTAATTTCATTTGAATCCTCTGTGGGCCTAGAAAGCTTCTCTTATCATATATTAATCTACCAAAAGACAAACCAAAAAAGCCCGAAAATAAAAACCAACAATGTTTGTTTACAGGCCTGGGAGGGCTAACCTATTTTAAGCTTGGATAATAATGACCTTGTTACAGCCCCGTGCAGTTACTTACAGACCTCCAGGTGCTAGAAACTACTGGAGATACAGATGTACCCTGTGTTGAATCATAGCTCACATACATTAGATTAGCTGCTATTTTTAACTTATTTTTGGTTTCTATTTCTAAATTACCTCTGAGGCTTGCAAGCATTTCCAATCTGTACTTCTGCAAGTATTTATTGATTAAGGAAAGAACGTGTGCTTTATACCATCTGGTGTTGAGGTGCTAAGGTCATTTTAAGGGTTATTTAGAGGATTCAGATAACTTAGAGGGTTTATCTTAATTCAATTATTTTTAGAGAAGAAACTTCAGGTTTTAATTTTCTTGATAACATATTAATGCAAAGCATGTGCTGATTACTAAATCCTTTTGTGAATATGATTTTTCAAAATATTACACTGGCTATTTTGTACTTACACAAGTTGGTCTGAATGTAATTATTTATTTAGTTGTGTTATACACAGAAATATTTAGTATGCAAATATTATGACTTATGAAAAATATCAATTCCTTCTGGTATAATGAAAATTTATTGTATTACTTTAATTATGATATTACTGAGTGATAGCTACATCTTTTCTCCCAAAGCATATGATCTGCCAGATACTGACCAAAGTGAATACATTTATTCTGCCACTTTGTCTTTACAAAACCTATGAGACAGAATTCTTATCTGTCAACTGAAATAAAAAATGATTAGCTAAATTACCCAAGGGAATGTATTTATGCCATCTTAAAACGAGTCACAGAAAATAGCCCAAAATTTGAAATAAGGACTCAGAAAAGATAGACATACAAGTGATGAATTTTACATGATTTCTTATTTTTGATTAAACCTTATCAAAACTACAAATTATAATTCCAATAATATGTATGATGATTTAAATTCTTCAGGTATACATTTTAGTGAATTGTATATAAGTATGTGTGTCTGTGTGTATATACTAATTTTTAGGACAAAATCCTTATTCTGTTCAAATTAAGAGGACTGGATAAAATTTTAGTTACAGACCCATTAGTGTGATTTTTGAGTCCTGGAACCAAGTATGAAGCAAATCCTGCTCAGCAATGGCCAGAGTATGCAGTCTTTGCCTTCCTAAGCACAATCCTACCTGAGTTTACAAACTGTGCACACTCATCTGGTAGGATGTTTATACTTTATTAGGACATGGCATCATCTTTATTATCACCAAAAATCAATCAGGGGCATTTTTCAACAATGAATTATTATTTATTGAGTTAGTATTGTAGTTTTTGAAATTAACATGTTGCAAAGTTTTCTTATTAATAGAGATGTTATGCTGTTAATAACAATTACAGTAAAACACTGACTACTGACAAATTGTCACTTATGTTTAAACTGTGAAGAAGAAAAACTAAATAAAGAATCATCCTTGTTGCGCGTGGGTCACCGGCCAGCAGTGACCACGGAAAGCTGTGGATGGCTCGACGATAAACATGCGAGAAAAAACATGCACAGAGACAGACTAGTTTCTGTGGGGAAGTAGGGACGAAATGGCCACCCCCCCTAGTGGGGAGCGCGCTGATTTACCGTCCATACCTGCTTTTATTGGGCTCACTTTGCATAATAATTCAGGTAAAGTACAGTACTCATTAGGGGGAAGTAAGGAACCATAGAAAACAAGGAACTCTGCTGGTCTATTGAGTCAGGGTCAAAGAGCTGTAAGACTGAGGAACAAACTAACTTCCTCCTAAGACCCTTCTCATTCAACTGAGAGCATTCTAAACAAAGAAGGTTTCACAGTAATTTACATATTCTTTCTTAGGCCTGATCACCAGGGGAATCCGCCCTTTTCAGCACAGAGCTGCACCACCCTGTCATTGTTTCAGGCTTAGGTGGAGCAAGGGAACTAAGGCAACCGAGAGATAAGGAGGTTTTCTCCCAGACGCTGAGAACTCAGGCTATGTCAAAGCCAAGGAGCGAGGGTCCATCACCCCCTTTTGCTGCAGCCCCCCAAGTCCTTCTTTTGGGGGGCCTCCCAAAGTGATCGTGCCTGTCTTAGGTCGTTCCCCCCTTGGGGAATCTTACCCATCTTTGGCTAACCGACCAAGCTTTTGGGGATTCAGTTATGAATAAAGCAGCAGAAGCAGCATTCCTGCCTGGGAGATAAGCTTTTGTCTCCTTGCTGGCTTACTGTTCCAAGGGCGTTCCCTTAGCCTTAGCCTAGGTGGGGTTTTCAGCTTCTGATACCAGTCAGGGCGGTTCCCAACACATCCTCATCTCAAGAAACTCACAGTCTAGGAAAAGAGGAAGTTTGATTTTCTTTGAAAGGTCAAGTAGTAAAAGTTTTAGGCTTTGTAGCCTTTACATTCTCTTTAACAACTATTCATCTTTGCCGTAACAGCACTAAAGCAACCATAAACAAGTCATGAGTGTGGCTGGTTCCGATAACACTGTATTTACAAAAATAAGTGGTGAGCTAGATCTGGTCTATGGGCCATAGTTCACCAACTCTTAACCTGAGTGCTGATATAAAAGAAACACTGGGGAAGTTAAGATATACATCAATAATTCAATGCCATTGATAAGTGTGTTATAATTAAATTAATAAATGTGTTATAATTAAATTAATAAATGTAATTGTAAATAAATATATCAAGGTGTGCCAAAGTATTTCACAGATGCTTTATCTACTTTATAAGTATTTTCACATTTTGATGTGCTGTAACTTTGACTTTCCATATATTTATAGTGACATTAGTTACTTGGCATATTCTTTAAAATATAATAAATTATGAACTGGAAATAAATTTTGTAGCCATTTCTGTTTATTGGGATGTCCATTTTGGTGACAACCAAACTGTCACCTAGTAGCACTAAAAATTAAAACACCATTAAGCATTCAGAGAAAATATATGGACCATTGCCAACTTTTTATTTGAAAAAGATATATTGGAATTTGTTTAGAAATACTTGTCTACCTTATCTAGCATTATATTTTATTTTCTTCTCCTTATTTAATATGAAATATAGGAGATACATGTCAAGGAATTCAATTTCAAGATAGCTTCTAGACATAAGCCTAAACTTGCTTGTCTATGACTAAGTCCATTCTACAGTTGTCTTGAAATAACAATAAATGGTATTCATAAAATATACAGAAAAGTGAATGCATTGAAGCACTAAATAACTTCTGTGTTATATTCTGCCATCAATTGATGTGGTTTCCAACAATAAAGAGCATTTTATTAGACAACCTACTTAGTGTTTTCTGGACCTTTTTTTACTATGAATATGTGGAAAATTTAAAAGAATCTTGAATGTTTCAACATCCAGAAAGTGTACATCCAGAAAGAGCTATATTACATATAGCTCATCTTTTAACATAGCAATAGCTCTGCAAATATACATTGGAAGATGCCTTTTTAAAATCTGAAAATGTAATTTTAAATTGGTAGCTTTCCATAAGTGATTAAAGTCACATAAGCATAACATATTCATTAGGCTATAATAAATAATGCTATTGGGATAAGAAATCAGTGGGTCAAATGAGAAACATTATTCTCCATCTGAAATTTGTACACTCTAGCAAAACATGTATTTAAAGCGTTATTTAAAATGTCTTCTGAATATAAAATTTGCAGGAAATTTGAGGAGATATGTATTTAAATGGGCTTACATATTTTTGTATGTCTATATGAATTGCATAAGCAAATGTATTGCTCATTATATCCTAATAAGCATTTTAAGTAAAATTAAAAATTAACTATTTCATACAGCTCTGTATTTCTTAAATACATAAAATGCTTCTTAATTTGAAAGGCACTGTGGAAAACATTAATTGTATGCATTTGGAGGCTTGTGTTTTTAAAAAGCAAAACAGACGCCTGTCTAAATTCATAGTGTCTTTATGCTGTATTAAGGGAGTGGGATCTCTTCCTTATCTTGGGCTCTCTTGTTTGCTTTTCAGTTGCTGCGAATGTGGCTGTGGAAGGGCTTCTTCCCTGTGCGCTGTTGCCCATCCAAGCCTAATATGGTTAGTGTTCCCCACCCTCTTTCACTCCTATGTGATGTCCCACCTATATGTATTATTGTCAGCATTCCCTTTTTTCCATTTGTGTACATTTTAACAGTTAGCATGCCAGTTACACTTTAACAAAAGAATAGGATGAAACTGATTCCCAAAGGAGAATCTTAACGAGTGATTTCACAATGAATAATTTCAAGTGAAATATTCTGTAGCCCATCATCCTTGTGTTGAGCATTCATACTTCTCTTCCAATGCATTTACTGTGGTCCTGATTTAAATCAGGAAGTTGTGAGGTTAAAGTACCTGTTTTTCATTTAACATGTCTCTATTTCTGTTGTTCCATAAATATTAAAATCATATCATACATGGAAGTAGCATGCTACTTCTGTCAAGGTAAAATCACCTATTCTGTCTCCTGGTACCACAGAATGACCATAACATAACTGAGTTCTTCTATTTTCATAATTGTTGTGAACTCATATGGCATCGGAGAATAGAACCATGTTCAAGTGTTTTACTTATTATTTTTAAGCTTTAATTATTTCATATACTAGAAATGATATACCTAATTTGATACCAGTTAAGTAAAGTATGCATACTTTAAGGATTAGTGTCCAAATGAGATATCCTGAAGTATTTACAAATGCAAATCCTAAATATGTGTCCAGGTTATAGCTATAAATTGTAGGCTAGAACATAAGACCAGAAAACTCTGTTCACAGATTCAGAGGGACTCCTGCGCAATAGTGAACAACCTTGTAAGAACTGAAATACTTTAGATAATTTATTTCTAGATTAGAGTTCAAATCTGTGTGCTACTGTATTAAGTTGTTATTTATAGTCAAAATCTGCCAAGAAAAGCTATTCTGAAATGCATTTCAGAGAGTTATAGGGTTTCCTTGGGGCATTTAAAATTGTTAGTTGTATGCTCTAGGCATGAATTAATGTTTGTTGATTAAAAAACCTGCAGTATGAACGAATGTGCATGCATGTGCGGGTGTGAGGAAATGCTGTAATGGATACAAAAGATCTGAGAAAACAGAAAGAGTCAGCAAACACAGATTTATAAAAATATTTTTTTCTCAACACTTTGAAATTTCTATATTTGAAAAAAGGTGAAGTTACTATGAAAATACAGATTGGTTCTGAATTATTTAATTTACCTAGGAAATTCTTATATGATACTGAGGCTTCAATGATGAACCAACCAATCCTGAAATCTGGCAATGATAAAGTATAACATAAATGACTTTACACTGTGAATCTTTTCTATGCAAAAGTACTTGATTCTGGAGTATAGTGTTATAAGAGATAAACCATCACCAGAGCATAATAGACAGAATTTATACCCTGGAAAAAAAGATTGACATCCAGATAGATCTTGAAGTAAATGTGAAAGATACCTCATGAACACATATGAAGCCATGATTTATCAAGTATCGGCAAAAGGTAACTTTAGCTGGATTTAAAATGCTTAATTTTTTAAATAGTATCATTTCTCTACTGTGTAGTTGGCTTCAAGGAGCTTATAAAACAAAAGAGAAACTAGGAAGGTGGGCCACTTCCTTCACAGAGAACACACTAGGAAACCTAAGACAAAATCATTTTCCTAAGATCATTCTTCAAATAATATTAGTAATTGTGGAGGCAGTGAGGGCCTGTATGTGTGTGTATGTGTGTGTTTGCACCAAAATAAAAAGAGAAAAAAATTAACCATTAATGTATTTAGGTATCCAATCAAATGCTAATAGTTTTTGTGGAAAGATTTATGAAATAGCCAGAATTTTTAATGCATTTTAGTATAATACAAAACAAAATATAACACAAGAAACAAACTTTAATTGAGATTGTATAAGTTAGAAGTAAGAAAGTTATCCACAGTTATTACTGGGGAGGAATGGAAGCTAAGAAAGTCTTTATTGCTATGCTTTCTGAACTTCCACTTGGTAATTCCAAGTCATTATGAGGTTTTAGTTAAAGACACTATCTGCATAATCTAAAAGCTTTAATCTAAACCCTTTGGGAGAAAACAACAATAGATAGTGGAACTTAAGGATAAGAATAAATTCCTAAGTGCGGGCTGTGAACCAAAGTGTCGCAGGTTCGATTCCAGTCAGGGTACATGCCTGGGTTGCAGGCCACAGTCCCCAGCAACCGCACATTGATGTTTCTCTCTCTCTCTCTCTATCTCCTTCCCTTCCCTCTCTAAAAATAAATTTAAAAATCTTTAAAAAAAAAGAATAAATTCCTAGTAGAGTCAGCAAAATACTGAGAAGTCCTGACATGATATCTTGTCACATAATTTTGTATGTAAAATCATAGCAACATGCCAACTACCACAAAAATAATTCCCCCAAAATATTCTATCATCATCATTGGTGAACAGACATATTTATAATCATAAAGCAGAAGTCATTATATATTTTTAAATTTTGGACTCTTTTGTCTTTTATTTCATGAAAGACCACTCATGAATATTTATTTGGTTAGTTTTGACCTTAATATAATGCAGTATGTATACATGAAAATTACCCATTGTAATTATACATGATATACCTTGTGGAAATGTGAGGGTTTGAAAAGCATAATTTCAAAATTGTTGATCAGATATTTGGTTCTTCAATGCAACTTTGCTCTGTTATTTTTCTAATGTATGCCATGCCATTTGTAAGGTGAAATCGGTAGTTGCATGATGCCACCTTTGATCTCAAACTACTTTTCATCACTGCACTTGCCCACTTTGCTGTGTAGTCTGTGCATGTGCTACACGCAGTGGTAACATTTCAAGTGTTTCTCCTGCATTGACTGAAATTTGCCCTGTGATGGAAGATATTTCTGTAACAGTTCTGCATGAAGCACAAATGCCTAGATTCCAGGCACCCTATGCCCAAGAGTGCCTCCATTTTTAGCAGAGGTGTTTTTTGTTAGTGATCTTAACTTTATACCATTACAACTGGCTTGAAACTCTAATCATTGTTTAGATTCACAAGGAGTCTGTTTTTATAAACATGCAGTGTTAAATAGATTGTTCTTACGTAAGATATTAATGTGTGTAATTTCAAATATATTTATAAATTATAATTTGTCCCTTGATATATATTTGTGTTTATAATTACAGAAACTAATATTATATTTATAGAATAATATTTATTATAAGTCAATCTGAATATACCAAAGTAGTTTTTCTTGCATTTTTAAAAAATCAAACATATGTCAGACAAGTTTCTTTCTTTATAAGTGTTTATGTTTTACAGTGTTTTCATATTACTGCTTCTGAGGGATTTGAAAGACAAGGAAAATGTGTTCAATATTTTGAAAGTAAAGATATTATATTCTTAATTTGTTAATTCACCTAGTGATTTTAGAAAGTCACCTTATATTTTCAGAATTAAAAAAAATAATTCAGAGACACAACAGATGAAATCTATCTCTAATGAAGATATTAAAATTTTAAAAGTTTTCTGAAAGAAAGTATCCCAAAACAATAACCATTATCCTAATTTTTCAATGAACCATATTTCTTCCTCTGTATCAACTGAAAGTTTCTTAAAATTTGTAGTAAGCAAATTTTTATTTTTACACAACTTATTTCATTCATCATACAATTTCCGTTGGAGAGTTATGTAGAAGCACTATTTTATTTTATAGAGTTAGGTAAAAGATATACAGAATGAAGTCATATGTTTCTAATAATTCTAGACCTTATTTAAACTGCTTATAACAAGCAGATGTGAGATTTATCTACTGTATATAGAATATATTAAATTCCTGTTGAAGGCTTGCTATGTAAGCTACTCTAAAATTATTTTTCTAGGGAACCCTAGACTACTGTGATTTAGATATCCAATGTTCACATCATGAAATAGTTTAAAAATTAGTAAAAAATAGTGCTACTCTAGCATTAGGGCAAAATTTATTGAAAACTGGAAGAGAATGCACACATATAATAATTTATGATTGTGTATTTATATTAAATTTCTAAGTCAATTAAAATATAACTCACTATTGAAAAGTCTATAATTCATCTTTGAGTTATTGAAGTATTTGAAATTATTCATCTTCCTATTATTTCTAATTCCAAAAAATTTAAATAGTTTATTAATAAACAATTGACAAATTCATATATGCTGCACTGTTTTAGAAGGTGTTATTTCTGAAGTGATGTTTTCTTTGTCTTTTAGACAATACAAATAAAAATGATATTCAAGGAATAAAATAAGTTAACTGCCTGCATTACCCTTCACCATTGAATAATTAGAATCCTTGACAGAATGTGAGACGGGGACATAGTAATCTATGTCTTCCTTTTGTGTTATAATTATCATTGCAATCTCATATTCAAGAAGAGTATGTTTTTCCCTTGATAAGTCTGTTTGAGAATTTTCAGTAAACAATAGCAGATCATTTGTGTTTTTTTGTGTAAGTTTCATATGTAAGGAACTCAGAATCCCAGTGCTTGCGTATACAAATGAGGACTATATGAAGGAGCGTCTTATGGTCCTACTTGTAAGGCAGCCTAAATATCAGAGGTCCCATTTTACTGCATTCTCACTCACATTCCTATTAAAGAATGTGGTCCTGTAAAATAAAACAATCTACTTCCAGTATTTATTAGATGCATTAATAAACTAATGTCCATATGCTTCTTTGTTTTATGAGGCTTAGCTGAGTTTTTATTAAACCTATCTTTTTTCAATTGAAGAGAATCCTGAAATGAAAAAGTTAACCTATTTCCCAGAATGTTATAACTTATTCTTTTCAAGATTACAACAATAAAATGCTTAAATCTAGCACTGTGCAGTGGTTGAGATCATTATTATGTTAAAACAAGGCAGAGTCCATACATGGAGAAATGTGTTTTTTGAAATAACTAAAATTACAAGGGCCTTTCATTTTCTATAAGGAAAATATATCTACTATAATTTTTACTGCAATTTGTCACCATGTGAGTTTGCTTGTTTGTCTTAAAGTATAAGGAAAGCACTTCTTAATCATTCTGGAAAACA